CTGACCGGAGCAAAGGTTTCGGTGAAGTCGCGACCGTGCTCTTGGTCGAAGCCGCGTACGACCCAGCGCGCTTTGAATTTGTCGATGGTGCCATCTGCTTTCGTCTTCACGCGGAAGACCCATTTTCCGGTGAGAATGGTCTTGTTTCGTGCTACGCCGATAGGAACGATTTTCCAGGTGTTGCGTTCTTCTAGCGCTTTCAGCTCCTTGTCCATGGCTTCACGCCATTTTTCCCTGTGTTCCCCCCCCAGAGCCTGCTGAATCGTTGCAGGCTCTTTAGGAATGGCGGCGCCGTGGACTGCGGTGACGAGCCCGAGTATCTGGAGTCCACTCTGTGTGTAGCGGGGGAGTGTGGTGTCCTCGGGATAGACTGCCTCGTCTCCAGCTTCTGGATCAGGTGCGAAGTTGGGCCCTATGCGTTCTGCTTCGTTGGTGTTGACTTCAGCAGGTGTAACGTAACCGTTGTCGGCGAAGTGGTAGTAGGTTTCGGCGTTGACGCTTTCGCGAGGGTTATCTTCGTCCATCGGTACGTCCACTGAGCAGTAGGGAAGAGGTCCGGCTTCTTCCGAGGCTCCTTCCACGTTCTGCTCGTCCCAGTCAGCTTCGTCTTCTGCCGAAGCGAAGGCTCGATCGCCACGGAAGCCACCTGTGGGGTCTCGATTTTCGTCCAGGTTGGCAAGATACGTTGGCAGTGTGAGCCGTTCGTAGAAAATGACATCACGTGCTGCTACTGTTTCCTTGGTGTGGATGTCGAAGATTTTCCACGCGTTGTAATGTTTTTCGATGCCCAGGTGTAGTCCCCACTGTGCGCGTTGGGAGAATCGGCCGGCTCGTGCAGATGGGGGTCGGTACTGTACCATGCAGCCGAAGACTCGTAACATTTTTGTGCTGCCCAGTTTCCCTGTCCACAGCAGATGCGGTGATGTGTTGTTCGGGAGTGACGACGAAGAAAGCAAGTTGTGCAGCATCACGGCGTGGTCCATTGCTTCGGGCCACTTGCGGTTGGGTAGCCGCATGCCACGTAACAGTTTGCGCATGGTGTTCTGCAGAGTCCTGTTCATCCTTTCTGCTACACCCTGCTGTTGATGGGCGTAGGGAAGGGAGATGAGTCTCTTGATTCCCTTCTCCGCCAGATACTGCTTGAACCGCTGTGACGAGTATTCTCCTCCTCCGTCTGATTGAAAACTTTTGAGTTTAGCTCCCGATTCCCGTTCTGCTGCTGGAAGCCATGCCACGAAAGCCTCGAAAGCCATGTCGCGACTTGGTAAGTTTAGGTGCCAGACGTAACGTGTAGCGGCGTCGATGAAGGTGATGGTGTAGTTGTACGCGTTTTGTCCGGGTTCGCGGTTGTACAAGATGTCGCTGTACACTTTCTCGAGTGGTGCATATGCAGGTGCGCTTGGGTTGTGATGCGAGACGAAGGGCTGATGCGGTAAGTCGGCTTCGGGGCAGGTGAAGCACGTTCCTCGAGCTCGCTGAAGTTCTCTGCCGTCGATCAGTAAGAGTGAATCCTTGTCAAGTACTCCAGCTCTTATCGTGTTGTTTAATACTGTGTTGCTTGGGTGTCCCATTCTTGCGTGCCAGGTTTCTTCGTTGGCGCAATGTCCTGGCGAGCGTCGGTATATGTCGGAGTTGGAGTAGAGGCCGGCGATGATGTTCGCGCTTCTATGAACTTCCCGTGGTGCCGGGTTGAGCTGCTGCGCCGGTGTTGGCGGCGTCTCGTTGATGAAGGGCTGTGCCGTTGAGGGACCGGCGACTGGTGTTGATGTTTCTGCTGCTGCTGCTGTTGTCTGTGCTGCTGTCGATGTTGTTTCTGCTGCTGCCAATGTTGTCTCTACTGCTGCCGATGTTGTCTCTGCTGTTGCCGATGTTGTCTCTGCTGCTGCCGATGTTGTCTCTGCTGCTGCCGACTGCTGAATTGTCGCCAGCGCCCTTGTTCTTTCTGTTTCAGGGATGGTGTGTGAGTACCAGAAGCCGCTCGGGCTGAAGTCTGGATCAAGATCTGGAGGATGTGTCCAGTCAGTGAAGTTGACGATGGCGTCGCTGTCGGCCGTTCCGAGATCGGGGACGAAGTCAAGAACGAAGACGTTGTTCTTGAGAACCGCCTTGCCGATGTAGAGACCTCCTCTCCCGTGGTACAGCTTGAATTCCTGGGTTGTGCTGTCTGCTTCAAGGTGAATGCCTTTCGCCATCAGTTGACTGACGCTGAGTAAGTTGTAGCCGAGGCCTTCTGCAATTAAAACCTTGGACATCTGTAGAATGACGTTCGTTTCTCGTGACTGAAGTTGAACAACTCCTTGTCGTCGTGTGCGCAGGTTCTGATTGTTGGCGACGGTGATGACCACCTCTCGTTGAAGCTGGTATTCTCGTTGTACGAAGCGTCCTGAGGAGCACATGTGTTGTCCGCAGCAACTGTCCAAGAACCACGTGTCCTTCCCGGATGGCTCGTTTTGGGCTATGGCAGCGTATGTCGGGTTCGGCTGAAGTGACTCGCGGCGTGGTGTCGTTTCGTCGAATTGCTCTTCTGGTGAGTAGTACGGTGGCGATTCTGTGATGCAAGAATCGTTCAGTCTTGCCATGCAGCTAACGATGTTTCTTGCTCCTTGCGCAGGTTGTCCCGTTGGAGTTGTTGAAGATTGGAGCTGGGTCGTTGGATTCGGCTGTGTTGATGCGACTTGATTGCTTGAAGGTCGTAGCTGTCGCTGCGGAGTCGTTGACGGTTGTCGATTCGGGCAGTGTGTGCGCGGGTGTCCTGAAGTCTTGCAGATGTGGCAGAAAGGAGGTACTGGCTTCGGTTGTTGTTGTCGATTGTTGTAATTGTTGTGACGTCGTTGAGTGTGAAACGCGAACTCTGATGTTGTCGTCTTCTTTCTGTGTCGTTCTTCTTGCAGGTCCATGTCCTGCTGCTCAGCGTGGATTTCGGCGCAGAGTGCTGCTTCAGAGATTCTGCCGTGGGCTCGGAGGATAGCTTTGGTGGCGCGCCATTGGGGACCGAGACCACCAATGATGACTGTCACGAAGGCGTCTTCAGAGATTGACCCTCCGCATCGAAGAAGCTTGTCGCGCAGTTCGCGACATCGGCTGATATACGCCATCCCCTTTTCTCCCGGTTTCATTTCAACTGTTGTCAACTGCGCCATTAACCTGCTTTGGTTTACGCTGTCTGTTGCTTGATACAGGCTCTTCAGGTGGCTGTACGCGAGCTCAGCGGAGTTGCCGTAACCCCGGTAAGAGCGTATGTTCTGCTGCTGAGTTGGTGTGACGTTCCTCAGTAGAATCGTATACGCCATCATCGATTGATACGTATACTGCTGCTTCTCATACTGTGTGCCGTTTGCTGGATATTGCATGGACCCATCGAAGAAGCCGAGTATCTGCGCGCCTTCCATCATTAACTCAAACTCGAATGACCAGGTGAAGAAGTCCTTTCCGTCGAAGGGCCTTGATGTCTGCAGCTTCAGAACGTGCGCGAACTGCGATTGCACTTGTAACGCGTCCAGTGGTTTATCTTGTCCAGGTGAAGGCTGCGGCATGAAGCTGATCGACCCGCGCTCGTACGGGGCGAAGGTAGGTTGCTGCTGTTGGTTTCCGCGCGCATATGACGACCCGTCAAGGCTCATGGGTGTTGCTCCGTTGTTGTTGCTGTTGTGTGATTGTGCAGGTCCCGACTGCTGGTGCTGCTCGTAGAAGGACATGAAGGAGAAGAACTTCTCCATTATACTCGGGTCGAAGTTCGCGGGGTGATTTGCGGGAGTTTCAGTAGATGTTACTCTTGGTCTTGTTGCCGTGCCTTCCTCTGTCTGCAGGCCAGAGGCAGGAGGTGGAGTAGGAGTAGTGCCTGGGGAGCCGTTAGAGGAGCTCCTTTCCTTGCTTGTTGCCATGTCTTGTAATGATTTGAAGGTAGTAGAGTTTCCCCTGTTTGCTCTCATACCATGTTGGGCTGAGATAGCCCCTTAGGATCTTTCAAGGGAGAACTCTGGATGGATAGTGTTGTAATAGCGGAAGCGTTTAACAAAAGTTTGTGAACCACCTTGCGCTGGTATGTGAGGGCAAAGTAGATTGATTATAGCAAGGAAGTACAAGATTATATAATAATACAAGGAATATGAAAGGATGCAGTTTGTAACTACTTTACTGTTGCTGTTGCGGTTCGATACAGTACGACTCGGGCAACTGCTCTGTAACGAGTCAGCTGTGTGTCCTTAACTGTCGCGCTGTATTTGTCAGGTCAAAGGTCGCTTGACCTTTGACCTTCGCGTAACCTCCAGCAACCTCTTTTAACCTCCGAGGGTTGACTCGCGGGTGCTTCGACATGGCGTGCTTCGCTTCTGGTGTGGTGTTTCGACACGACAGAGGCGTTTACAATTTATTGTTTCCAACATTTGTATCCGGAACGGTACAAAGGAAATCTATTCATCCACCCGCCTTCTACATCCTGAAAAAATGCCATTGTGCTCCTTTCCCTGACCTTCATTCTCATGCACCCCACCACCATCCCACTAGCCCTCCAATTATTTAGAAAATAATAAAAAAAAGCAGCAGCCACTTCTTGAATGCGCTGCCTTCTCGTTTTCTTTCCCCCCTCACTACCACTGCTTGCTTGCTACGCCTCTTTTCCCTCCTCCCCCACATCATCTATTGCCTGTTTCGCCAGCTCACAACCAGCAAAGTTCATCACTCCTCCAAGGGGAACAGTACAGACGAACCAGCCAGCAACGGTAGATCACTGCAGTGTCATCCACCAAAGCTGGTTGCTCCTTACTGCCTCCTCCTTGCTCCTTACTGCCTCCTTGCCTCCTAATTGCCCCCTCCTTGCACCCTGCTCCTCCTGATCCCTCTCCACTACGCCTCTTTTCCCTCCTCCCCCACATCATCTATAGCCTGCTTCGCCAGCTCATACCCAGCAAAGTTCATCGCCCCCCTCTCTCCCCCCATCGCAACTCCTCCTATGCCTCGCTCCTCTCCTCCCCCCACTCCTTTTCCTTAACTGCTCCCCTCTGTTATGCCTCTTTCCCCACCTCCCCCTCCTCCCCCACATCATCTATCGCCTGCTTCGCCAGCTCATACCCAGCAAAGTTCATCGCTCCAAGGGGAGCAATCCAGAAGAACCGCGGCAGCCAGCCCTTGTACAGCGCCCCCACCCCCTCCGTGGCCAATAGGTTGGCGCCAACTGTCAGCATGCCAGCCGCTGCAGCCCCGGGAGGCGACGTCATCATTCGTGTCTTGATGACGTCGAATGGAGTGATGGCAATCGCTGCCATGCCGCCCGAGAAGCCGCCCAGAAGGAGGGTTTCCCAGGGGGCGAGCTCCCGGCGGAGAACATGCCGAGTGACCTGCGATGGATGGGGAAGGCAGGAAAGAGTAGTTGATTTGAACCATACTGCTTCAAATGAACCCGAAAGGCTGCCCAGCAGGAGGGTTTCCCACGGGGCGAGCTCCCTGCGCAGCACATGGCGAGTGACCTGGATGGATGGAGAGGGAGAAAGGAGCGATAATCAGCATTTGAAATAGTTCAACTCACAGAGAGCACGAGAAACCGCCCAGCAGGAGGGTTTCCCAGGGGCTAGCTCCCTGCGCAGCACATGGCGAGTGACCTGGATGGATGGGAGGAGGGAGAGGGAGAGGGGGTGACAATGATGCCCTTGAAATAAGCCGATTAACAGAGAGCATGAGAAGCCGCCCAGCAGGGGGGTATACCCAGAGAGTGACCTGTGATGGAAGGGGAGAGAAGGAGGGAGGATTGAAAGGGCCCTTTTTGATATCAAACAGCTCGCAGGGAACACGCTCAGCTTTGCAGAAAGCGATCTCAGCTGGCCCTTACAACGCCACATGCACTCTCTGTCAGCCAGCTGGCTGCAGCCTTCACAACTCACCCGCTTGACTTGCAGGTAAATCAGCATGCCAAACACATAGAAGGGCACTTCTCGGCACAGCGTGGCCGTGGTCCCTCGGAACAGCCCCTTCACCCCTCCCTCCTTGAGCGTCGCCTTGAGAGCTGCCCCCGTGCTGCTGTACAGGCACACACTTGAACACTTGGCCAATCCATCTCTGTTGCACTCACCCTTTTGACTTGCAGGTAAATGAGCATGCCAAACACATAGAAGGGCACTTCTCGGCACAGCGTTGCGGTGGTGCCTCGGAACAGCCCCCTCAACCAGCACTTGGCCTCTACCTCTATCAACTCACCCGCTTGACTTGCAGGTATATGAGCATGCCAAACACGTAAAATGGCACTTCTCGGCACAGCGTGGCGGTGGTCCCTCGGAACAGCCCCTTCACCCCTCCCTCCTTGAGCGTCGCCTTAAGCGCTGCCCCCGTGCTGCTGTAGAGCCCTGCCTGCAGCTGTTGCTTCAGCACCTCACAGGGAATGCGGAGAGCCGTTCCCAACACAGTTGAACATAGGGAGGCCACTGGTTGGACCTGAAGGGTAAGGGAAGAAGCGATGAGGGGTGTGGGGGAGAGGAGGTGATTAAGGGCCTGTGAATGCTGCTGTAGAGCCCTGTGTGCAGCTGCTGCTTCAGCACCTCACAGTGAATGCGGAGTGCTGTGCCCAATTCTGTGGAGCACAGAGAGGCCACTGGTTGGACCTGAGATGAGGAGGGGAGGGGAGGAGAGGCAGGGGGGAGAAGGAAAGGGGTGGTCGGCACCTCGGAGGGAAGGCGGAGGGCCATTCCTAACACCGTGGAGCAGAGGGAGGCCATTGGTTGGAGCTGAACAAGGGGGAAGAACGGTGGTGGGGCAAGAAGGGGGAAGGAACAAGGAAGCAGGTGGTTGGGGGTCTATGTATGCTGCCTTACAGTCCTGCCTGCAGCTGCTGCTTGGCACGTTGTGAATGGGATGTGAAGGGCCGGTGTTATTGAGATGGATGCGCAAGCAGGTGGACGTGGAAGAAGGATATGTATGTCCCATAATGGAGGGAGGCTCCAAGTCCCGTCTGACAATTCTCGAAAGATGACGCCGACTATGGGGCATCTAGGGCTGAGCTGGCTTTTGAGTCAACCCATACCTGGTACTCCGTGAGGTTGGGCAGCATGCTGGTGAGAAGCATCTTGGAAGCTTCGTACGCGCCCGTGCGCAACCCATGGCTGGCAAACTGTCCAAGGATGGCGGGCGGAGCCCCCCGGTACAATCCCTGAATGCCGATGGACGGCACTGATTTGATGACTTCAGTCAGCGATGCAGAGGAGGCTTGCACTCGGGTCTGGTGGGGGCGAGAGAGAGGAGGGGGGGTGGGAATGGAGAGGGAAATGACTTGCAAACAGCCCCAGGATGGCCGGCGGAGCCCCCCCGTCCCCTGGATGCCGATGGACGGCACTGATTTGACAACTTCAGTCAGCGATGCAGAGGACGCTTGCACACGGGTCTGATGGTGAGGGGGGGAAGGAGCGAGAAGGGGGAAGGAGCGAGAAGGGGGATCGAGAGCAAGAGAGGATGGCTTGCAAATAGCCCCAGGATCGCCGGCAGAGCCCCCCGGTACAATCCCTGGATGCCGATGGATGGTACTGACTTGATGACTTCAGTCAGCGATGCAGAGGACGCTTGCACACGGGTCTGGTGGGGGCGAGAGAGAGACGAGGGGGGGTGAGAATGGAGGGGGGAATGACTTGCAAACTGCCCCAGGATGGCCGGCGGCGCTCCCTGGTACAATCCCCGGATGCCAATGGACGGCACTGATTTGACGACTTCAGTCAGCCCCTGGATGCCGATGGATGGATGGCAGTGACCGCACCACCTCGGAGAGCGAGGCTGAGAAGGCTTGCACTCGGGTCTGGTGGTGGGAGCAACAGAGGCAAGAAAAGAGAGAGAGTTGGCTGCCAGAGAAACAGGGGTGGGTGCATGACAAAATGTCACAGGATGGCCAACAGGGGTGGGTGCATGACAAAATGTCACAGGATGGCCAACAGGGGTGGGTGCATGACAAAATGTCACAGGATGGCCAACAGGGGTGGGTGCATGACAAAATGTCACAGGATGGCCGGCCCGGCGGTGCCCCGCGGGCTGCCCAAGGGTGGTACAACCCTTGGGTCTGGCAGGAGAGCAGCGGAGGGAAGAAAAGAGAGAAAGGGCTGCTTGCGAAAGGGGGTGGGCAGGGCACCTCGGCCATCCTGGGGCCTTTTTCACATCAAGGTGGGATGATTGTATCATGATAGAATCGTACATTACAGTCACACCCACGATGATGGTATTTTTCCTTACAGCAACACCCACCTTGAAAGTATCCCTCTTTTCCGTCACGCGCACCTTGATGGTATCCAAGGGGTGCATGAGGCACGTCGACAATCCCGAGGCCAGCCCGCCCGCCAGCGCGGATTTGATCACGCTGCCAGCTGGCGCTGACGTGGCAGCGGGCGGCGCCATTGGGACCATGGTGGCAGCATCGTACCACACCATGCTGGGGGGGGTGTGAAAGGGGTGGAGGGGAGGGGGAGAGGGGAGGGGGGGTTGAGAGGGAGAGAAGGGGGGGGAAACGGGAGAGATTATGAGAGGGGGGAAAATGGCCGTACCCATGGTGTGTGATGCGCCATGGGGACCATGGTGGCAGCATTGTACCACACCATGCTGTGTGTGTGTGGATAAAGGGGGGTTGGGGAGGGTGGTGTGTTGGGAGGGAAGGAAGAGACGAGGGAAGTGGGCCGATTATTCGTACCATGGGGACCATGGTGGCAGCATCGTACCACACCATGCTGTGGGGGGGTGGGTGGGGTTGTGGGGGGAGGCGACACACTTCAAACACAAAGCTAAAATTGGAGAAAGTGAGGGAGAGAAGGGCAGGTACGCTTCTTGCCACCTCACTACACCTCACTGCACCTCTGCCCACCAGTCCTTCCTCCAACCAACCCTTCCTCTCTTGATCTGGCGACAGCACTGATTGGCTGCGCTGCACTGCCATCCGAATGGCTGCTCAGCCCGACACTGCACTGCTCTACAGCCATTCGGATGGCAGCGCAGCCCAAGAGGCAGAGCAGCTGCAGCAGCAAACGCAGCGGCGGGGGCTAATACAGCAGCGGCAGCAGCACCAGCAGCAGCAGCAGCAGCAGCATGCCATTGCCCCTCACCTCATAAACCTCGTTCCGCATCATCCCCTCACCTGGGGTCGCTCCCCTGCAGCCGTTCGGGCGGTAGCAGCAGCAGAAAGTTCCGAAAGTCCCCATAAGTCACGTGGCCTGACTCATCCGTATCCAGAAACCGCATCATGGCGCGCACGTTGCTCTCCGTGGCTGGTAGGCCGGCTTTCTCCAGTGAGGCGAACACCTGGGGGCAGGAGGAGAGGAAAGGGAGAGGAAGGAGGGGAGAGTAAGGCAAGTCCCCGTAGGTGACGTGGCCCCGACTCGTCCGCATCCAGATATCGCATCATGGCCCGCACGTTGCTCTCCGTGGCTGTAGGCCTGCTTTCTCCAATGAAGCAAACACCTGCTTTCCACAGCAGGAGTTGCAGTCGTTCAGGTGTTTGCTTCAGGTGTTCAGCAGGGCTGTCTGGCCTCTCTGAACGACTGCAACTCCTCCCACCCACCTGAACGACAACACCAGCCAGTACCACGTGATGTGACCATGTGGCCAAGCCAGTCAGGCACCTGACTCCTTTGCTGCACGCACCTGTCCTTTCTGCAGCGTCCCGGACGAGCCAACACAGAGCGAAGTAAAGGCTTGCAGCATGGCGGGTTCTTTGGCCTCCATGAACGACTGGAACTCCTCCCACCCGGTTGACCCGTTTGATCAGTCACAGCCCACGCACCTGCCCTTTTTGAAGCGTGCCAGAGGAGCCCACGCATAAAGAGGTGAAGGCCCTCAGCATGGCGGGTTCCTTGGCCTCCATGAACGACTGGAACTCCTCCCACCCGAACGACGAGGCCAGGCAGTGCCATGTAACCGTATAACCACACGCACCTGCCCTTTCTGAAGCGTCCCAGAGGAGCCCACACATAATGAAGTGAAGGCCCTCAGCATGGCGGGTTCCTTGGCCTCCATGAACGACTGGAACTCCTCCCACCCGAACGACGAGGCCAGCCAGTGGCGTCGGAGGCGTCGCAGCAGCGGGCGGGCGTGCGCTGCTGGCAGGCGGCGGCGCTTGAGCGCCCTCTCGAGATCCTCCAATTTGACTTGCCCGTCCCCATCCTTGTCCAACTCGGCGAATAGGCGACGACCTGAGAACGGGAGGGTGGGGAGAGGGAAGGAGAGGAAGGAGGAGATACAATGGGAGCAGCAGGAGTCAGCCAGTGCCCGCTGAGGCGTCGCAGCAGCGGGCGAGCGTGTGCTGCTGGCAGGCGGCGGCGCTTGAGCGCCCTTTCGAGATCCTCCAACCGCACCTTCCCATCCCCGTCCTTGTCTGGCTCTGAAAAGAGCCGTCGGCCTGAGAAGGGAACATGGGGGAGAGAGAAGGTGGAAGGGATTCAGTGCGGAGCAACAGCAGCAGCAAGCCAGCCAGCCAGTGGCGCCTGAGGCGTCTGAGCAGCGGGCGAGCGTGCGCTGCTGTGCTCTCTCCAGGTCCTCCAGCTTCACTGTGACAGCTGACTGAGGGTGGTGGGGGGAAGAGACGGGGGGTATTGGTGGGGGGGAGATGAGGGGGTATTGGTGGGGGGGGGATGGGGGTGTTGGTGGGGGGAGATGGGGGTGTTGGTAGGGGGGAGATGGGGGTGTTGGTAGGGGGGAGATGGGGGTTTTGGTAGGGGGGAGATGGGGGTGTTGGTGGGGGGGAGATGGGGGTGTTGGTGGGGGGAGATGGGGGTGTTGGTGGGGGGAGATGGGGGTGTTGGTGGGGGGGAGATGGGGGTGTTGGTGGGGGAAGATGTTTGGGTTGTTGTAGGCGCACCAACAGCAACAGCTTCTGTTTGTTGAGAGTCCCATATTAGGGTTTGCTTGCCCTCCCACCAGTGCGCTCTATGTGAACTCGTCTTGCACGGACGACGACAGATCTTTCTTGTTGGCCAACCATTATTAGGGTTAACCACCCACGCACTCACCTTCCGCCTCCGCGTATTGGAAAAAGTCTTGCACGGACGACAGCTTCTGCTTGTTGGGATACCGCCGCGACCCGCGCGCGCCGCCTTCCGCCCACCCGCCGATCCCCCCGCGCGCCTTGCTCCACTGCTGGATCTCCTCCAGAAGCTCCCGAAACGGCACGTGCGACAGCGTGTGCTGCACACGCGCCTCCAGCGCCGGCCGAAGCTTCTCGATGTCCGGACGAAGCTTCGTCAGGTCCGGCAGGTTCGGCGGGAGCTCGACCCGCCACCCCGCGAGCTTCGACCAGGTCACGACGCTCGGACCGGGAATCACGGCGGACGTACCGGCATCGCCGGCCGGACCTGGGATAAGTTCCACACTGGGGTCCTTCCGCGAACCTGCCTCGACGACGGTGATGACGTCAGCGGAAGTAGCCGGGGACGGGTCGGCGGCGGGGACTAAGAGAAGCCGCTGGCGCGGCAGCAGAACCAGCGCTTTAGAGCCCGCCGCGGAAGGCGCCGGGTCTGGCGATGCGGCGGACGGCGACGCGGCTTCCCCTTGAGAGGCGGACGGGGCGGAGGCGGAAGGGGGGGAGGCGGAGGCGGAGGCGGAGGCGGGGGAAGCAGCGGAGGACGCGGAAGACGAGCCCCCCGGGATAGGAAGAGCGGCGAATGGATTGGAGAAACGCGGGGTTTGAAGCATTTTAGCAAAAGGCAAGTGCTGACGCGCTTCGGTGCCGAGGGGCCCAGCATCTGAATGGGAGGAAGACGAAGGACAAGGAGAAGAAGACGACGCGGCAGCCATGGAATAGGAACTAAGGGGATCGCCCTGTATTCTGGCTAGTAGCCGCTCTTGCTGCTGTAGCAGCTCCTGAAGCCACGCCGGCAGCTGTAGTGTTTGTTGCGAATGCTGCGAATGCAGCGAGTCACGAGCCGTGATGTTACGCTTACGAGCTGCGCTACAGCCGCCGGCGTTAACGCGACGACTTGCCGCTACAGCCGCTCCTTGCTTCCTGCCGTCGGCGGCATCGCCCGCGAAGGGCGGCGGCAGCGGAAGTCGCATTCTACCGCGACAAACGTTCCTAAGCGTCAGATCTCAGCCGTCTTGTCCCCGCGGATGCTATTTTTCACGCGCCTCGGGAACGAACTTCGCCCAATGCTCTATGAGTGACCGCTTGCTCTACAGTTCCTGAGGCAGCTATGCTAAGCTAGGTGCAAATATTCCACGCTCTTGGCCGCACGCACCACTTCAGATATTCGCTGTGCTTTGCTGTGTTGTGCTTCACCCTGATGACGGTGGTTTCCTGGTTCGGAAATTTTGGTTTGATCAGCACCTCGAGCTCTTCAGAGGACTCGTCCGAACGTAGTCACGTCACACACGTGGCGGCTGCTGAACTCGAGTGGGTGTGGGAAGCTTCGCAAACGAGTGGCGCTTTATCGCGGAATATTGGCGGTTTGGCAGGACGCGGCGGAATGACGTGTTCACACATCTGATTTTGGCGGAACGGCACGTGTGCCACGTGGGAAGCACACTTGGCGGAGGAATATGCGGAACAAAACAAACAACAAACTTTAATTATTTGTATTCAAAGAAGTGACATCCGTTGTAGTCTAGTCGGTTAGGATATTCGGCTCTCACCCGAAAGACCCGGGTTCAAGTCCCGGCAACGGAAATTGTTGTTTTTTTTTTTTCCCTATTTCCGGCTTTTCCCCAGTGCCAAGGTGGCGCGTCACGTGGCATACATGGCGCTCTCCCAGGAATCACTTCGGCAAGCCAAATGCCTACTTCGCCACGCATTGCGCGTCGTCATGTCGACGATGGGGCCAGCTGTCTCAACTCGTTGCCCTACCTTCACAGTGTAGACTCACGCATGGCTCCCATTGCGGAAACATCCTCGCGCACTGTGCGAAGGCCTAGCACTCTGAACCATGGTCTATTCCTCAGGCGACTGCCGATCAGATCCTAAACCTAGAGTCTCAGTTTTCCCTTATGAATCCTGAAAGGCGGCGGATCGCCGTGTTCCGCCTCTCATGTTTCCAACCTCCGCGTGAACTCTCTCCGATCGGCTTGCCGCGTTAGATCTCGCCGCGAACCATGCCTGAGCATGTAAGTTATACCGTCGACACGCCATTCGCGTCTGTTCCTTTTTTTCCGTCTCGATTCTCCGCACCCCGCTATACTCCCTTCACACGTGATCGCGTTTTCTTTTGTCACAACGACTCTCCGCAGCGACTTGAGCGCGAGCCACGACGAGGCTCGGCAGACGAGCCAGATGCGCTGGAGAGGATCGCGAGGGAGGCTCGGGAGTACCGCGTCCCCGTGCCTGATAACGTGCCTGTGCCTCTGGTTCGGCGCGTTCGGAGCCTGGAAGTGAAACAGGTACGCGTGGAGATGAAACAGACACTCTAAGGTTTGACTGGTAATGCTGGTGATGGCCTGGTTTGGATCAGATCAGAACTCGTTTGAAACTGCAACAGTATAAGTACCATTAATGGCAGTCATCTGTCACAGTGTTGCTTCCTCCTGATATGCATTTCCATCAGCAATTCCCTTCAGCAACTCACAGGCACACTCACAGGCGCACTCACAGGCCCTAATATCTGTAGTCGTCTTTGCGCTTCTCTCTCTCCTTCTCTGTCTACGCAACTCCCTTCTCCTGTTTTTATATGTGGAATGCTGGCTGCTGTTGCGGTGGTGGGTGCATGCATGGGCTCCTCCCTTCGAGGCTAACTGTATTCTGCCATTTCCTCCATTTTCTTACCTATACACTCTCTGCTCTGCGTCTCTGCAATGCCTGTGTGCAGTTCCTATGCGGAGTGCTGGCAGGGGGAGTGGTGGGCGCATGCACTGTTCCCTCCATTCGAGGCTAAGCCTTTATCTGCCACCTATTCTCCCTTATTCTTGCGCACCTACACGCTCCCTTCGCACTCTCTTCTCCCGTCTCTGCAATGCCTGTGTGCAGTTCCTATGCGGAGTGCTGGCAGGGGGAGTGGTGGGTGCATGCACTGGTCCCTTAAAGAACCTTCAAACGAGGGTCATTGCACAGAAGGGCGGGAGAACGGCTGCTGAGGTGGCATCAACGGCAGTGCATAACCGGGCTTTAAGGGACAGCATTCTGTCTGCCGGGCTCAAAATGCCTATCATCATGACAGCGCTAAACAGGGGGATTCAGGTGAGCTTTAAGGGACAGCATTCTGTCTGCGGGGCTCAAGATGCCCATCATCATGACAGCGCTGAACAGAGGCATTCAGGTGGGCTTTAAGGAACATCCTTCTGTTAACATCCATGCATGCTTTTTCAGACCCATGCAGATCCAATCCACACAATGAATTTGAGCAACGGGTCAGCATAGTGTCTTAGGTTCACGGTAAAACTCCACGTTACATTGCTTACTTACAGGTGATCCAGTGGTGTTTGCATCCATATACGTTCCTTATTATTCCTCATGGCCCCCATCCATTTCCGTATTCCTCTCTCTCCCCTCGTTCCCTCTTGGCTTTCTCCCCTAATTCCCCATCCATTCAGTTCTACACGTTTGAGACCGTCAAGGCATGGCTGCTACGAGCCAACCAGAAGCACCCAAAAACGTTTCAGCTGCCCGAGTCATTACCTCCCAGCTCAGTGGCAGGCGGGGCAGCAGGTCTGGCTGCCACTCTCCTCCTCTACCCCTTCTCTGCTGTCGGCGACCACATGAGTCTGCAGGTGAGCTTTCAGGTGGCTTCAGGTAATGCTGTCGGCAGCAGGTGCCTTCAGGTGCCATTAGGTGTCTTCAGGTGTCGTCAGGTGCCTTTTGCTAAGGTGGGGGTATGGCAGGATACTGTTCGCCTTCCTCTGTTCGCCTTCTTTCCACACCATTTCATTTTTCTCCTCTGCGTTTCCCTCCTGAAATGTCTCTCTGTTCCCCGGCAGTCGTGGAAATATTCGGGTCTGCGCCAGGCCCTGGTAGGGTTGGCACAGCAGCACGGCACCTCACTGCGCAGGCCCTCCGTGTAGAGTGAGACCGTAGC